CGTGGCCCAATATTCGTGGGTACCCTGCATCCACGTGAAAGAGGCATCCTTCCTTTTGCAGATATGAGTGAATCAACTTCGAACAAGTAAAATTTTTTTGAATATTGGCCTTACGAATTTCATTTTGGGGTTTAAAAAATATTTTAGTGAAAGGTATATTATAGGACCTTTCCGAGATTAAAAAAATAATAATAATTTAAAAAAAAAAAAAACAATAATACGAGATTTAATGTACCGGTAGATATACTTTGATACGCGATTGATTTAATGTTATAATTTATACAAAAAGTCCTATCTTTACATAAAGTAAAAAAATAAAAAATATAAAGATTTCTTTTCAATTTTGATTAGCTGAACATATTCTAAATCGCCTTATAACGTTTAACAATTCAAAAATAAAGAATCTTGCAGAAAAAAACTGATCATACAAAGAAAAAACGAACTTGAAAGATCGATAATAAACTTGTACGGGTTAACTCAGGAGCCGGTGCGAAAAAACCAATTGGGTTCAATCAAGAATCGCTATGACCGGATCATTATAGCCAGATTTAACACCTTTATATAAAAAAATGGGGGGGGGGATAGCATCACTGCATGAAGAAAAAAAATATTGATGTCATGTTTCACGATCGCTTTTTTGAAAAAACTTAATCCGTTCCTGACGTTTATGTGAGTGTATTAATGCATGCCAAATACACTCAATTTTCTGTACAATAAAAAAAAGAATGGCCTAAAATTAATACCTTAAGAAGGTTCCATGGCCCAAGTGTGAATCTGTCACTCGAGGAAGTGTTATTGTAAATCTGTGTGGTTAACCACCTTAATGTAAAAAAAAAGCGCGCGTTTCCTTTCATTATATCCATTTTACAAAAGTGCGATTTTGCACTTTTGGTTTTTCTCTGCAGTTTTCTGTATTCAGTATGTGAGCCACCCTTGAAGGATTTTTAAACAATATTTCTCCGGCTGTAGAATTTTTTTCCCATAATCCAACTTTTTGTGGATGGTGAAAACTCACTATGCCATATTATTGGCTTAGAAAACGAAAACTATGGAATAACATGAATGTTATTTGAATGTATGTCACCAGAATATATATGGCAGGTTTTAGGTTGTCAAATTCTTTGTACTCGAATGGTATGTTTTCCTCATTAAAAAAAAAAAAAACTTGTACTAAGTGTGCAAATTTAATTTATTGTAAAAAAAAAATAAAAATATTAATATTAATTCTCTTTTTACACTTTTTCAAATTGAATCACGCGTATAGAATATTTCTTTTTTACCTTTCTACACTTTGTTGACAATATTAAACTTTATTATTTCATCAATAATCTTTTTTTTTCAAGCTGTAGAAGGTCGCAAAATGCGAAACTTTTTACGGATCGGGCATGTTTGTAAGTAATGTCCAGTCCTACCTGACGACCATAAGTCAGTGATTGACATATTTCAGACGAGCGCTTCCGGTCATTTTCTAGGATCGTCCTTTCACACATTGATTGTCAGGGTTACTAAATGCAGACGGATTTAGGTTGGACTTACGATTGACGAAAAACCCATCGCATTCTTGCGGTTAGACACATTTTCTTTGAAGGATAATGTATGTTAGATTATATCGGTATTCTTTTCAAGGGATGGGCTAAACACCGGTGGCCCTCGTGAACGGTTGCGGTTTAGATTACAATGAATTTGAGTAAGAGAAAAGACGATGGTTATTTGCATACTAGCTTAGGACTGACGAAAACGTAACAGTGTTACACCAGCTGAACTTGGAGTAAATAGAACGGAAAAATGACTTTCAGCATGCATAACTGTTAGCGTAAAACATACTCAAACGTAATCAAAACGTACACATACGGAGAAAACGTTCTAGCTGTCATTTACGGCATTGAAAAGGATTGACTTATTTCCAGTTGGAAACAGATGCTGGGATTTTATCTCTATCCATATTTCTTCCGTAACAATTAAACAAAAAAATATATTTGCATTCTTTTATCAAAGTACACCGCGTTTGAAAGTTAGATCAATATGTCGTCGGCCATTCATAATTAGCGATCAAACAATCGCTGGAAGTCACCGCAGCTTATCTGAGGAAAATATTAAGCATTAAAATCTCACAGTGGGGAAAAAAATAGGATTGAACCACGATAATCGCCAAACCTTGTAAATAATCAACGTAATTAGAAAGATTAATGGTAATTTCGTAGGATTGCACTTTTTGAATAGTAAGACAAACTGGACATTGATGTTTCAGATGTACTGTGTTCAGTGAAACAACTAGAACTAAAGAAAAATAAAAGGAATACTTTGTTGAAAATAATATTTTTTCATCAAAAAATGCAAATCTGATATATATTTTATATCGTATTTTAGAAAAAAAATAAAAGCTGTTACATGTATATTGTACTACATGGCCTGCACCATGGAAAACAAATGATTAATTTTAAGTATAAAAGAAATTAAAGCATCATTTTATCAGTCCAACACGTTTTCAACCCACGTTAATATAAATACAATATCAATTTAATATAATAAACTGTTAAATCGGTTAATATCGCTTTCCTGTGAATAACACAAAATATATGTTGTTCAATACGTCATATTTTTATATTATGCCTTCCTTGTATAAACTAAAGAATACTAATACATTATACTATACAGTTTACTTTAATATGTATACAGACTAGGGAGTAATTTACATCGGGTGTGGAATGCTGGATGAATAAGCCTCTTCAATGAAAGCCTTTTGAGCTTCTTTTATTAAAATCTTGATCGTGATATATGATTTTTTGTGCTTTCTGCGAAATGATAGTATATGATCCAACAGTATAACATATAAGCGGGATTTTTTATTCTATAACTGATCATTTTGTTCCCGCTCTTTATACAACTTTAATTCTTGGTTTAAATGAACACCTACATGTACATGCAATATAAAATTTGAAGTGCTAGTACATATATATGAAAATTAAAAGTGATCGTGTAAAAATACCTCGTATATACACATTGAATTTTCATTTCTTTTTCCCCTGAATTTGCTTTTTTCAAAAAAAGCTTTCGCTTCTTTCGCCTTTTGAAAAAAACTGCAAAATTCAAAATGACAAAATTTTCAAATAAAAAAAATTGGTCACCTGTATTTCCACAAGGAAGATTGCACAAAGCAGGTGTTTTATGTAAATATGACCGCGATGAATACCTTGCAATTGATAATCTGTACTAGTGACCTACAATCGAGGAGGTTCTATTTACCTAAAAGGTTATTCTGCTACTCAGAATTTTCAGGAAAAGCTATGCATCATAAGAAAGCCTTGGCACAGTCGTGCACTTTCTACGATGTCTCTAAAAATGATAGAATGTTTCCACGAACCTTAATATGTGTAATATACCGTCACCTTTATGGTAATGATATTGCCGATGTGAAACGTTTCCTGAATATTTTGACTTTCATGCTTGACTTTTCGACTTTTTTGAAAGGTTGGTATATTTTACGAATTATCAATCCGAGTTATTTCAACCAAATTCAAGGGTGAACCACTTCTATTTAAGAGTGTTTTTTTTTTTTATTTAAAAGAACATGAATTAACGAAGCGTCAGTCATAGTTCAGTGGTGCACTAAAACTACGTATGGCCCACTTAACTGAAATGTGGAGCACTTGTAGAATTAGCCATTCAGTTTTGAACATATCGACCTTTAAGTGACAGTTTTTACAAATGGGAACATCCTTTTTGTTGCAGTTTTTATGCCACTAGTACTTTTATTTTCAAAAAACCGCACACAGAATATTACCATCTCTCTCTCTCTCTCTCTCTCTCTCTCTCTCTCTCTCTCTCTCTCCTTTATTGATCAGTCATTTTTTTCACACAAAAAGAAATAATTTATCAACTTTTTTTTTCAATATTTCCTTCCATAAAATTTAAATCAGAGGATATTGGTTCATGGCATTTATTTTCTCCTCCTTTATTTCTTGCATTTTACGTTTATAATTTTAATGATCGGGACATCTCAGTCGAATTTTTTTTTTCTTTATTGAAATTCCTCTAGGTGTGTCCCAGTTGACGGAACTGCATGGGTATAAACTTACCCTACTGACCCAATCACTCGTGAACTAGATAAGGCAATGCGCTGTACCTTTAAACACCCTTGATCTAAACAAGGTGATTTTATGAATGGGAAAACGCTGAGACTTCCCGTACCGAGGCCATGAATGAATATGTTACGTCCTCTCGGTAGACGCGAGTCACTGATGATTCACTCCATGTCTTGGGAGTTCTGTTATATCATCCTTGACAGCCATTACGCCACCGACTACCGATATACCGTTAAACCTATACTAGTATTTAACAAACGTACAATTGTTTCCGGTCACTCAAAAGTCTTTAAATTTATTTTAAAAGAATTCTTTATTGGATTAGCTGCATTCTTTTTGTACAGATATACAAAAGGCAATAGAGCGCATTACGTTATAACATATAATGAAAATAATATTTTGAATTAATCCTAAGGCTAAGTATATGGGAAAAATTTGGACTAAGATTTGACATTGTTCATCCGATTAGTAACGGTAACAATTTCATTTCAAAACGTTTATTTTGGCAAAGTGCTTAGGTCTGGTTTTGTTTTGGATTATGATGCGTTTCTATTTCTACTTCATTGCTAAAAATAAGTCTTACAACACCTCAGTATTAAACAGGAATTAGCATATCTCTGCAAATTAATAAGTAGTCAATCGTAGTCGCATATTAATATTTGAATTCCTTATTTCGTCTCCCAGCTATTTGTAGAAAAAAAATAAATGCATTTGATAAGTTACGTATACTTAACATTTATGTCTTTGATTCAAGAATATTCTAATTCTATCAATGAGAAATATGGTGGGCGGTGCTGATTGTCAAAAGACACACCCTAGCTTGCCGTTCTTGCGTGCGAGACTGGCCAATCAAATGATCTGAATGACGTCAACGAGTTATATATTCTTGGACCTAACACTATATCGACAATTGTCTCACGAAAGATTCAGTGACCACGTGTAAAAAAAGCTTTCTCTAGCATTTATACCAGGATTATTTTTTGCTTTATTTCTGTGAAATACTGCTTTGGAAGTTAACACTTTTTTTTTTTATATTTTACATTTTTAGTTGGTAAGTAAATGTTAAATATATTTTTTAAAAACATTTTTCTTCTTTTAATTTCAATTTGACTTGATTGCATTTTTTAAAGTCGAATTTGGCAATAAATTTTGTATTTTATTTTACAGTGTCTAAGGAATGGGTTTATCACTAAATCAAATTGCAGTTTTCCTTGTTATTCAACTGTCCATCTCATGTGCTTGGGCAAGGGTGCTGGTAAGTTATCTTTTTAATTTAATTATGTAATTAAAAAAAGGAAAAATATTTGGAACAATCTTCAGCAAATTTCTTTAAATGTTGCAGATTAAATTTACCTTTAGATGAGTCATTTAATTTTTTTTCCCCTAAAAAAGTATTTCTTCCTGAATGGAAATCTCGCGGGGCACTCCCTCGCTTTTGGGTGATGCAATTCTAAAGCTAGCGCTCCATTATGTAACCTAATTTGTTGAATATTGCAGCAAATCATAATCGAATCCTGTAGAGGAAAAATATTGACTTTCCATGTCTGTTTATTAAATTTTTTCCCAATATTGCTAAAAGCTGCGACCTGATTCTAAGCTAGTGACCCATTGGGCAGATTGCCAAATAGTACAACGCACCTGAATGACACATTGAAAGAAAATATCTATTTCAGGAGACGCGAGGCTAGTTTTTTTTTTTAAACGTTTAGATGGCAATCAGAGTAAAAATTTCTGTTATTGATCAATTAATTTTTTTTTCCACAGAGGTTACCCAGACCTGATAGTCAAGGGCTTTTCTTCAAAGAGAGACTGCCAGAAATCACGACAGTGTTCAAACACGAAAGCATTGTTTTAACGTGTAAAGTTGGGGGAACAGAACCTACAATTCACTGGTTAAAAAATGGAATAAGAATCCAGCAGGTACGTTATTTGAATGCATCAATTTGAATTGAAACTTAAATATAACAGGAAAAAATAAAAATATGTCGAAAGTTTGGTTGTTTGATTTTTTCTTGAGATTGAATTTTTGTTTTGATTTTTAATAGGGTTCCGGACATGACTATCGAGACGATCAAACACAATTCGAGGATAACGGGTCAGCTTTCGGGAAGTCTTTTACTACGTCCAAGTTATTTTTAGACTGCGTGGACGACGAGGATGAAGACATCTATACTTGTGTTGGGCAAACCCCCACCTCAAGAATTTCCCAAGATACCAATCTTGTCCTAAGTAAGTAATTATTGACCAGTCCATAGCCTTTTTTATCATAGAATTTTAGGAGTTTCTTGATTCATAAATTTTGAATCCACTATTTTGTACAAAAAAAATATTAATTTTTTGTTCCTTTTTAATTTTAGAACGTTCTGTTGATGATTTTTTAAACGTACCAGAGGATGGGACTGGTGAATTTTCAAGTAGAAAATGCCTTGAAAGAGGTAAGCATAAAAATTAGTCCAGAGAGTTTCACCATATTATAGATGCCTTTAAAAGAAATTAATTATTTATTTGTTTTTAATAATGAATTAATAATTTCATTTTTATAGACACAGAAGCTAGAATATACCAGTTTACCACTCTGCGCATGGAAACGATGGGAGAGCCAGCACAATTGTACTGCCGGGCTGAAGGAAGTCCCGCGCCGCAAGTCAGCTGGGTGGATAAACACGGACAGGAAATTCCTACGGAAAATGATAAATACAAGGTAAACTCCTCGATTTATGCCTTTAAAATAGCGTGTGTCTTGTTCATATAAAATATTTCTCTTGTATATGACTGCGATTTCCTAAATTTAACCTTCTAAATTTTTTTCTTTCAGATCTTAGAAAATGGTGATTTGTTGATTAAACGACTTACGTGGAGCCAAATGGGCAACTATGAATGTCGGGCGTCAAACAGAAAAGGGGAAGATTCACAAAAAATATTCATCTATCCACTGAAAAATGTAAGTTTAACTTTTTTTTGTAATTATATTTTCATTGAAAATATTTGAACACGAGATTGAATTCGTCGCTTTTTGTTGATTCAAAATAATAAAAATTTCTGTCTTTTCTTTGCAGTCAAGAAGAAGTCGTAATAACTTATAGGACCATAATTTTTCTCTGGAACCTAAAGGACCGGAATTTCTGTCTCGTTTTTCTATTAAAATACTCGTTGTGGCTTCGATCAGGAGTTTAAACTTTGACAGGGTGTATATGCTTATTTGCATAATGACGCAAAAAATCTTTTTTCGCTTTACAACCATAGGACACGAACATATTATATGATGGATAATAGGAAACGAGAAAAATATGCCGTAAAATAACTGGAGCTATTTCAGTACTTGGAACCTTTCAATTTTACGACATTCTTGGACCGTCGTGATTGAATTTTTCCCATGAACCCCCTGACCGGAAGTACGCCATATCATTTTCGATGAGAGTGACATCGAAGACATCACGCCTGCTCCTCTTATGACGCCATGAAAAAGCCACTATAGTGAACAAAGACTTATTTATTATTTATTTTTTGAATATTTTGTGCAATGATGATTTTGTTGTTATTGTTGAGTACTATTGTTATTTTCATTTTTTATCATTTTAATCCACATCGCAGTAGGTAGGAATGTGTGTATCTAATGCCTGGTGCTTGATTTCGATAGGCATTTCTGCAGCGAGTGCGGGGTTATGAGTGCTACTGAAAATCCTCAATGCTACAATATTGATTTTGACACAAAATAATTGTCAAATTTTTGTTCACAAATATTATACATTATAGGACCAAAATGTCAACCAAAGTTTTTACCTGACCAAATCTTGTTCAGAGTCCGTGTATGAGTGTATCATTCATTATTTTTCTTCATCTATTTATTATCATACTTTTCATAAGGTGCCAGTCTTGTCACACAAATGTAAGATATTATATTTTTGGTTTTATTTTATTGATTATTTATTTTTTTGCAGAAATGCAATTTGTGCTCAAATAAAAAATGTTTATGGTTAATAAAGAAACCGTAAAACAAAGAAGTTGTGTTCCCTGATACTTTGTCTTTAGTAAAGAGAGGAAGATTGGCGACAATTCTAAGGAACAGAGAAATTTATTTGTAAAACTTGTTAACAAGTGTATGGCAAATTTAAGGCTCTTTTAAATTACGTCAATGCACGTAAATTGAAAAGATTAATTGTGGATTAATTTTTAAGTAAAAGACGATCGACACTCAACAATTAACAGTATTATTTTACCAGGATATAAATTTGCGACAAATAACGGGAAAATTCTTTAAGTTTAATGAACTTTCTGGGCTTAATGCAATTTTCTTAATTCGGATGTTCTGTCTTTATAAATGATATGATGATGATACATGTATTTATCTAAGTCTGGGTTTTACACAAGAAAACCGAAAATATTATGAAACACGGTAATTCCAAATCAATCTGCATTTGAATTCGAATAACAAAATAAATATGTTCAAAATCAAAAATACGAATACGATGCGAGATAGACTGGTTTAGAACAATACAGAGTCCTTAATGTCAAAGCAGTCATTTCATATTTACGTACGGAATCCCAATAGTGCATATTGATTACTAAGAGGATGCAATGCTTTTATTATTAGAACAGAGCTCAACAAAGCTCGAACGAGTAATCAGTAATAATCCTAAAAATGGAAACCCTGTTGGCGAGCACAGAAAGTGTCAACCTGCGATAGATCGAGCAAAATAATCGAAAAACAAAAAGAAGTATTGGAATTGTCAGTCGATTTATCAACGAAGGATAAATTATGCATAAATCATCAAGGCGCAAATAAAAGTGATAACCTTGCCCATCCCCCGCTATCAGCGAGGGAATAAGAATATCCCTTCTCATGACTAGAAACATGTAGTACAGGCCTTCCATTATTGAGCTTCATGCGGATCGCAATATTCCAGTAAATATAGCTCAAAAATAGATTGAACTTGTGCTGTTTATTTTCATAAAACGCCAAAAATGGCAATAAAGTACAATACATGTATATACTTTTGACAGATGGCCGGTGCAATGATTTTATTATTTTTTAACGTTCCTTTAGAAGTGTAATATTGTTTCGACTTTCATTAAGACTCTATGACTAAGTATATACAATATCGTCGATAAATGTTATAATACCCTCTGCGTGTCTTCTGCACTGAAAAAGGATACTCTGTAATTTCGGAGAAAAAAATGTCTACGTATTTTAATAATCACAGTCTATAACACCAATATATTAATCCTCAAATCCTTTATGAGATCTTTGCTGAACACGCTTCTCGAATATATTATTTGTCGTATTTTAGTCTTTGCTATCTTTATCAAGAGAATATAGAAAATTAACAGAGCTAGATGGATCAATTCCTGAACATTAGCTTTCAATGAGCGTAGTAAATGATTTTACGAGGTGGCTTTCCCTAGACAATATTCATATCATTGCCTATCAATAAAGCTTAAAGGCTTCTTAGAAGCCACCGACACAGAATTTTCAGCAGATTTTCATTTGGGAAATTAAGATACTGAAGAAATATAAGGATTCCTAACGATATTTTGTATCGAAGAATATTTCAATTGTGTCAAGAAAGCACTTTACTGTATTTTTTTTTTTGAAGTCCATGAAAAACACATTACCAGAATCGAAGCAATGTATCAAATTATTACATACATGTACATATTAATTAACACCAATCAAGGGCCCTAATGGGGTATTTACATCACATTTAATCATCCTAATTTAATAAAATCATTTACGCTTAGCTATATCAGGTTTTCTTGTTCGACCATCCCTTCTACATGTATAACTGGCTTGATGAAACAGGAGACAGGAATCTTATTTCCACAGCATGGCGTGCGTCAGTGTCACCTCTTATTTTGATGACGTCGTCAAAACACACCAAAAAACTTTGTTGTCTCTATCATCCAAACGTTTGCGTTTACCTCGATCTACAAACAAGCGCAAGCACCTGGATGATACAGACTACAAAACTCGGTAGAGAAATTAAAATTCAGTGATTCACAGCAGGCCGGTTTAACCTGCTATGAAACAGCATATAAATGCAAATGAATCAAATCCATTTGTCGACCTTATCTGCGTCATGTTGTAAATTTTGAATTCATCAGGTAGCAATGAATACAAAATTTGTTAAACTTGTAATTCCAAAATTAACATTACACCCTGTTAAGAATCAGGGTGTAATTTTTTATAATTGGCTCGCAATATTATGCAAATTAGTAATTTATATTTTTGTTTATCAACAGAATTTTTTGAAATAAGTAGGTCACAAGTATTACGGCATAGACTTGGTCAATGAGATGACGTATGTAAGAAAGTCCTCTCTCCCAAAGGCAAACCTGCGAGTTCTCTCGTCTTTCTGACAAGTGTATACAAACACCTACGTGACTGGAGTCTGCTTGCGTTAGCCTGACCTTCATCAATTTGGAATGTACTCTAATTCATTGAGTCTGATTGACCAATCAATGCCAAAGACACGAACTATCATATCGATTTCAATGTTAAATGTGTCCTAATAGGATGTCATAATAAGTCAAGTTCAATCAACGATTATTTTGGTGTTAAATCAACGATTAATAGAGGAATGGATCGACTCTTTTCAACAAGTATGTTTATTTCAAACCTACAGGTATTCGGGAAAGTACATGTTCTTTGTAATACTTTGCTGCTAAGTTTTTAATTTGTTCGTAATTTTAAAAAGTGCATAGTGACTGTAATGTGAGTCAAGTTCTCTGTTAGATCTTCAATAAAAATGAAAATTTAACTCGCTAAATTTCCTGCACGGAAAGTAAACTATGTATACATTGTTGTAGCTACATGATACAGTTAGTTTTACGGGTATATGGTATATGTATGCCTCATGAACACGTGTTTTAGAGAAGGTTAGGTAACATATTGATTATTACCGTCATGTGACTTTGATTTTTCCTTTGTAAATGAAGGTACCAGCTTTGTCATTAAAATTTGTTGTAATAAATATTATATATAAGAGATTTTTGATTCTTTGTTTTCCTTGCTCTTTTGCAGTTTTTCCTTTACACTGTGCTTAAGTTTGGATAAAATCTAAAAAACAAAAAAAAATAAAATAAAAAACTGTTTCTTGATACATAAATGACTTTTAAGATCTTAATTAAAACATGACTGAACCCATATGTGAAGTTTTTATATGAAGTGTTTACGTGTATTTATTATACTTTTAAAAATCATGTTATGATGTCGTGAAGGCGCCGTAAAAGAGGTCCAAAAGTTTAGAATATTGTTACAAAGTTTGCATTTTCTTTCCATATTAGAAGGTCAAACGCTAAAAATGATCTATCTAGATGTAATTGTATTCAAAATGAATTCATAATGCTATGAAAGTCAGAAACTTTTATAACAGTGATATTTCTCATTTAATGAATGTTTAATGCGTAAAAGGTAAAACCGAGTTAAAGCGGTCAGCCAATTTTCAGACTGTTACGGGTTTTAAAACTGAAGTCACTATCTAAATATAATGGGAAAATGAAGTTCAAGAAGGTAGAATGCCCGTCCTTGATTTACATGTAAAGATGTACCATTAGATGCCTGATATGTATAAAAGGGAGAATTGTTACAACTCTAAGAATATCGCCGATATATCGCTGAAATACCGCCGCTTTGGCGTTAAATAATAATCAATCCAAGAATTTTTTCATTAAAACAGACTAAAGTTTGTTTAAGGCACAATAATTAGCCTATGTTGGTTTGTTTCTATTCATATTAAAATTCTTGTCCTGTCAGTTTCAAAGATTGTAAAGATGATTTGATGATAGTAGGTGCTGTATGAATATAGAGGAACACTTCAGTTTGCATTCACCGTCAATACTTTCATTCGGGGATCTTCCTCCGTAAATAAAATCAACCATCTTTGCTTGCTAAGAGTTTTTAATTCGCTATTCTCCTCAAAATTCATGGCCAATGGCGCTATCAAAACTCAATATTTTTCTTAAATCTTGATTGGGGTTTATTGATATGGTTCAACCAATCAGCGACTGCTTTTGTAGATGACGACATCTCTGTTCCGGTTTAGTCTCTGAAATGAAAATATATGTCAACAACGATCTGTAGGGTAACGTCATTACATAAAAAGCTTATGCCCTGTTCACACGACGAGTTTAATTCGCAGTAAATTAATGCGAAGTAAACTAATGCGAATCAAAATAATGCGCATTAAATTGCGTTCACACGACAGGTAATGCGAAGTAAACTAATGCGAATTTTAAAAATTCTACTTCTACGGCCAGGCGTCAGTTAGGCTATTATGACGTCATTTGCAAATCACGTCACCTTATGCAGGAGCAGATGCATTTGACATAATGTTACAGTGTCTGTACACACATTTTAGTGATTAACACAATTTTCCTTAGTTTTTCACTCAAAATGGCACAAATACTTCAAGCTGACCACGGACATGTGGCATTTGACCTAATTTTACCATTACGCATGCCTGAAAATTTAATTCGAATTAGCTTCGCTTAGCGTTCACACGGAGCTAGGCTAATGCGAAGTAATTTAATGCGCAGTAAACTAATTCGAATTAAACTAATTCGCATTAAATTGTCTGTGTGAACGCTAAGCGAAGCTAATTCGCAGTAAACTTACGTTTAATTCGAATTAAACTCTCCGTGTGAACAGGGCATTAGATGTAATCCTGCTTTACCTCTGGTGCACATATAGATTTGCACCGTAAATAACACTTGTATTTTTTAAAATTATTTTTGCGGTCAGTACTTATATGCAGGGGAAATTGAGGGAATTTAGCGATAAAAACTTTAGTGTGGTTATTTACGTTAGTTTCTTTGTAAGCCTGTGCTCTACCTCCAGAATAAAACTTTTTTCCGATTGTTTCATCTTTACGTATTAGAGTACATTATATTGAGTGCAAAAATCAATTAAGTATACGATTACAACTGAAAATGATTGCAGAGGAAAATATAATATGCATACCACGGCACCAGCATGATCTTGGTAAATATTCATGTACAGTAA